TCGTTGAAGTGAGCTCCGAAGGAGGAATCTGCGTGGGCCAGGCCTAATAACACGCCACTATTGTCTAGAAGGTCTTGAATGCGCACGCAGAACGGTAAAGTTAGTCGTGAACGACGCTGTTGAAAAAGCCGTAACATGCTACGCCGAAAGGGAAGCCATCAAAACGTCCAAGATCGCAGCGTCCAGCGTTCATATCATCCAAGATCGCAACATCAAGCTTTCATAACATCCCACATGCATCCAATTCCGTGCCAATTGGGGCGTTCATAGGATCCAAGCGCGCAACACCCAAAGTCGTAACATCCAGCGTTCATAGCTTCCAGCGATCACGGCGCTCGAACTAGTTTTGATTCCTTCCGCTAGCTGACACTACATCAGCATAATTCTTTTGACTCCTGCCGCTAGATGACAAAACAACGCCATATCTCACTCGTTTGTCAACAGATGGCAAAGCCAACTTGGCATTCCACTGACGATCATGTGATTTAGTGGAGCATGGTTGCTACGAATTGCCTACAGCGCCTGGTAGCGGTGTCTGGCCAGGGCGCGACCGTGCCCCGGAACTCACCGGCGGAATGAGCACAGGCACGATGGGCGGCGCCACGGCCGGAGACGCGGCGGCAGCCGCGGGATCGGCCGGGACCGCTGCGCCCGCGGGGCGGGCGGGGTCTCCTGCCGCCGCCGCTTCCGACAGCCCCGGATCCATGCATAAGCATGCTGGCGTGACGGGTGGACGGGTAAGGCTGGCAGCGCGGTCTAGAGGTGCATGTCGAAGGGTAAGGAGGTCATCTTCAAGCGTTTCTGTGCGTCAGAAGGGCGGTGCGGTGACGCCGCGGTGGGCCGCCGGCACCGCCTCGGGTGTGGCGGCTGCGGCGGCTGACTGCTGGCGGGTATCGCCCCATCCGGCTCGCTGCGATGTCCGTCGGTACCGGCTGGCCGGCTGGTGTAATAGGGCAGTGCGCACCCGTCAGTGAGATCGAGCCTCTCTGTAGGAGACTCACTGTGGCTGGCGACTGAGACTTGCCGACGCTCAGGGGCGGATCCACATGGGGAAGCGGAGATGCGGGACCATAGCCGTGCCCATAAGAGGAAGGCCACTGTCCCGTGTGCCCATAGCCGGTAGAACAAACGCAGTTTTTTAAGCACAAAACGCAACAAAATTGGACGTCTTTGGGCTACCAGGCGACCAAGAACAGTCAGAACAATCGCAAGCTGAAGTATATGCACCTCCAGTAGACAGAAATAATTGTTCACTGATTGAGAAGGTGGTGATTGCGAGACTCTAAGGCTCACTACGCTGCCCAGAGACCATACGCTGTTTCTTGGGGTCTCATATGTCTACTTGCAAGGTGATTCCGACCGCTAAGGAGCCTTCCTCGTTGCCCTAGATTTCTTTACATTTGCTCGGAGGGTACCGCGTTGTATCGGGACCCTTTGTGCTGGCATGCCTGGGCACCACTGTCGAACAGGGGCCCTCTGCGGTTTCTTCCCACTTGCCCGAAAAATTGTGTACTCTATAGCCGGGACCCCATATGTTAAACTGCGAGGGTATTCTGGGTTATTCATGGCCCCTTCACGTTGGCTTCAGTTAACCTACTGCCACGCTCGCGATATGGCGATGGGGCTTCTACAAGGGTCTGGGGCCCTTCGAGTTCCCTGCCACTTGCAGAGGGCTCTACGTTGTTATTGGGGACCCCTCTGTTAACTCGCTCGGGCACACTCGATCATTCGGGGTCCTCCAGAATGGGTATCAGGTGCTTCCATTTTTAGGGCCTTGCGCTCCTACCAGGGATCCACCTGTTAAACTACTCGGGCACACTCCATCGTTCGGAGGCCCATTACACTTATTATTTGGTACTTCCTATCAGCTTTTGACGGGATCCCATGTGTCAACGCGCCTGGGCACACTCGTTGTTCAGGGGATCTGCACTTTAGGTCTTGGGTACTTCCTACTTGAATTTAGGGTCCTTCCATCTGCTAACATGCCTGGACAGTCTTAACTGATCAAGGGTCCTGTACGGATTCTTCACATTCGTCCAAAAGGCTCCATGCGCTATTGCCGGGGTCCCAAATGGCAGAGTACACTTAGTTGTTCAGGGGCCCTTCATATTGATATCGGGTTCTTTCCACGTCATGAAGGACCCTGTGCTGTCGCTGGGGCCCGTCGGTGGTAACGCACCGAGGTACTCAATGCTCAGGGGCTAGTTGCATTGATCTAGGGCTCCTTCCCTTCAATGCTCAAGGGCCAGTTACATTGATCTAGGGCTTCTTCCCTTTCATGTCATTTGCAGAAAACCCTTCACTCGTCCCGGGGCCTTTTCCGTTAACCTGCCCGGGCACTTTTTATCGCGTGGCGGCCCGCTGCAATGATCTCAAACACTTCATATCTGCTAGGGCACCATTAACTTGCTGTCTTGGGCCTCATTCGTTCCTTTGCCAAGGCACTCTCCATCGCTAGCGGGCATTTATTCATGCACACTGGTCTTGGATTACTCCTCTCTGCTCAGAGGGTCCTGTGCTCTGGTCGGACCCTAACGTTAGCCTGCCGGGGTGCTCCCGGTTAATCAGGGGTCCATCATATTGGTCTTAGTTCCTTCTTGCTTGCTCTGAGGACCTTATTCTGCTGACGGGAGCCTCTTTATTGCTCCACCGTGGCACCCACGATCGTTCAGGTGCCGTTCCCATTGTCTTCTGCTTTCCAGTACTATAGGAAGGCCTACGGCGTTGACACGGACCTAAATGTTAATAACAAGGATTGGGGCTTTACGTCTCACCGAGTGCCAGGAACATTGCGAGACCGGTGACTTAATCAGGTATCATGTGGGATGCAATGGCTGTGGCCGGTGCCCGAATCCCAGACTGACAAGTCCAGAATCGAGCGCACTAGCCAAATATCGCCATCGTCCGAACCTCAACCTTCATCGACTGGGACGCACTTGATCACTCCGAGGCCCTCCAAACTGGCCTGCAAAATTGAAGGAAAAATAAGAAGGTGAAAAAGTATGTAATCTTCCCCCAAAATATGGACGGCTCCCAGATTGACACACTTCACAAACTTGGGGGAGGGGATAGAATCCTCAGCTGAATAGGAAAGTAGGTACATCCCCGATTTGTAGATTTGTGCGACTATGATATTGACGATCTATGACATTGATGACATCTATATGACGACTATTGACGATCTATGATAACCATTCTCAATAAAGACAAGAGCAAAAATGGTATAAATCGGTATTTCAGAACCATTAATACCTCCTGTCATTCCCTTTCATGAGGAGTGCCATCAGACTTTAACATCGAATCCACGGTTCTTCTCAGAGGGAGGAAGGCTGGGTTGTGACTGCTATAGTGAGCCAGCAGCCCTTTCGGGGTCTTAAAAATGCGGTCTGGATAATCACAGGTCTGATCCGGATCTACTTTGATCGAATCCTCTCGCCCACTTATCCTAAACTGTCAGTGCCTCTTGTCGCTGGGGATAGGATGCTGAATCGCGGCACCGCCAACGAAGGCTAAAAAATTAAGTCTTAGGCAGGTATTCATGACACTGCAATGCGAATGCCACTTGCAAAGTCAACGTGCTTTAAAAATCACGCTGAAAGTTACCATCTTGTCAGGAATAGAAATGCCATGTCATTCAATCAATTCATGCCTTGTTCCGTGTATTTTTAACAACGTGACAGCAGTAATAAAAGAAAAACGCCTTTGGCAATGTAGATAGAAGCAGCTTTGCGGCGCTCCTGATATACATGCATCATAATTTAACCTTACCAAGTTCCAATGCAGTGCCTCGTAAATATGGCCGACCAGCACCAGGTACGCGCGTGACATCACTTGTGCGCGAGGATTGTGTGAGACACGGTGCGCTGCGCTCGACAAGCTACGCACGAGCACAGAGCCACCGGCCACGGCCCTGGTTGGGCGCAATTTGGCACTGACACTAACGATAATGCCTGGCTTGGAATCCTCCCCTTTCAGTTCCAAAGCACATACATATAAGCAGCGTTTACTGCGACAACAGTGAACAATTAGATATACATGATTCCACTTGCCCAGCTATCACCTTTTGCGCCGACGACCAACACTGAACGATAGTAACGCAGTGTTTGGACATCAACAGCTCTCGTACTATTTGGGCTTCCCAAAATTAAGCCCATTGTACCAAATCAACCTTTGGTCTCCTTTCAATAAGTCACGCGTTTCAACATTGCGACACGCACAACGTCACACGCACGTGTCTTTTGATGCGTGGGCACCGGTCACAGTCGGCAACAAATTGCTACCTGTCTTCACACAACTCTGCAACACGCTGATAAAGCTTTTGTTCTGCCGTCAGAACTGTTTGGGGAGGGAGTCCCAGGACGTTGGGGGGGGGGGGGGGAGAGAGAAGGAAGGCGACTGTATATCATGCCAGAACCAACGGGACCTGTTAAGTTCTTCCTTTGGCGTCCGAGGCGCCCCTGTTCCTGTCACTTCGCTACTTACGCTACGGAACGCAAGACGAGACTTCTAGACCTGTACGGTGGGGTGCTCGGAGGCGGCCCCACCCGAGCACGTTCACCAGGTCTGGGCACAGACCGGCCTCCGCCCTGCCGCCGTTTCGTTCGCGCTGGAGTGGAGGGTCGACGAAATCTGACCTTAGCCACTTCCACATTGGTGGGTCTGGCCACTCGCGTCTGGGCTGGCCGGGCCGTGAGTGGCCAATAGGAATCAGGCCAAGCCGCCCTGCCCAGTGCAGGCCCACGGATGAGATTGTCGCTCTGCTCTGCGTCATCAGGGGCAGCTGTCATCTTCCTCCCTCAGAAGATGAGGACTTGCTCGCCCCAGCTGACCTTGGGATCAGATGAGCGTGTTCTGGTCGCTGCTGACCTCGAGGGAGCCGACCGAGCCGCCGGTGCCGACGGCCGGCCGCAGCAGCGCCGTGTGCTCGGTGTGGTCCGAGCCGAGCGAGCCGCTGGCCGGCGACAGGTCGCCGGGCAGACTGCTCACCTCGGCTGCTGTCGTCACCGGGCTGCCCTGGCTGGCGTCGACTCGCGCAGCGTCTGCAGCTGACACAGGTCCTCCTCGTCCAGCCACAGGCTCTCCCGGTAGGCGGCGCTGCTGCTGGTTGGACTGACATCACTCAGGATGACCGGCTGCGGCGCGGCTTCGGCCGGCGGTGGACGCGGAGACAGCGGCAGCGACACCTCGTCGATGGTCTCAGGGATCTCGCAAGGCGCGGCGGCGTCCGGCGTGCTCGGCTCCGCGCCACTGGCGCCTGTGTCTACCTCGCCGGTCTGGTCCTCCAGTGCGCTCATCTGAGCAATGGCACACACAGGTGAGTCGTGCGGCGATCGCGTACAAACTGTCATTAACGCCGCGTGCGGCGAGCATGGAGGGCAACGCGCCAACGTCACACGATAGTCACGCAGGGTGGCGAAAATAGTAACACGGAACAGGGACCCAAAACAGGGAGCTGTAATATCTGCTATGGTCTCGAATGAATCAAAAAGGGCACCTCGAAGGGGGGGGGGAGCAATGCCTGTTCTGACGAGAGACTGAACACAAAAAGATGCTCTGATGTTCAAAAACTCGTCTGACTTTGCGTGATTTTACCCCAGGGAGTGCTCTAAAGCTGTACAGTATTTTTCTCTTTATTTGCAAACTCTGGTGGTCTTATGGGGGTCAAGATCCAGTTATCACTTGTTTTGGCCTCCGAGTAAGCGTCATATCTCCAAACCTTGAGAGCTGAACACGTTGTGGAGCTTGCCAGGAATCACTGCTGCAGTAGTTGACACCCACAACAGTATAATAAATCGAGCTGCATGCGCAAATACTAGTTCCAATTCTGTCCATTTGGCGGGAACGCGTGCCATCTGGGTGGACTGACGCACCTCGAAGTTGTTTCCCCGGCGACTTTTCCGGAAACGGAACGTCTTCCTGCTCTGCGCCTTCTGACGCTGCAGCCGGTGGCGCTGCGGCCTTGATGTGGAGCCCTCGTCAGCCGAGCCGGGGCTCATCGCCTGGTCCAGGTCCGTTGCTGAGTCGCCTGCAGTTACCGTTCAGTAAATTGGAGGGCGCACACCTAGACCTGTGTCAACGCGTCAATCACGGCACTAGAATGCTACACATATTTGGCGTACAGTTTTTATGCAGAGCCCGTAATAAGCTTTATACATTTAGCTGTGTTCTGAGGCCGCGAACATTACCGCACGAACAGACACACACACACACACACACACACACACACACACATACTCACAGGCATTGCATACTAGGCCATGCTCTGCGATTTTCAGCCTTCTAGGAGCATGCGAGAAGCAGACGCGTATATAACCAAGTCTAGATTATCAGTTGCCTAAATCTATGATCTTTGTTTTGGCAACGTTGAGCACTATGCCTCTATTAACACGCGTCCAGGTGGCCGGCTAGATGCCCTTCGCTCGGGTGGGGGGTCAATTTGGCCTCCCCTGAGATTTCGTGAACTAAGAAAGCTAGAAACACCAAATTTACAGGATGTCTTGACCTGTACATGGACTCACTTACGTAAAAAGTTTTGATCTTTCTAGGTCATGACCTTTAGGTCAAATAAGGCCAAACAAGGTCAAATTCCAGATTTGTCTCTTAAGTGCCTCCAGAACCTAGGCAACTTTCCAAGCGAAGGTGACAAGCCCATTTGAGGTCCGTGACCTTGTTTGACCTTTTGAAGGTCATGTTGACCAAAATCATAGGAGACTGCTCTGAGTTTTGCCTTTGAATAAGCGACAAAGATTACGCTAGACGGTATGTCCCTAAAACAAAATGTCGACCCAGCTTATCTTAGGTCAATGACCTGCTCGGACCTCCAAGAAGTCAATGGAAGATGTATAATGCGGTTCCTGCTGTCAATAAATTCGAAATGAGCACCAGAAACTATCCCATACAGCAAGCCTTAGAGTAATAAATCAGGTTGGTTTTGTTCTTAGTCTGACCTTCATACCTGACCATAGGTCAACGTAATTTGCTCATTCAATATTTGTGGTGCCTAGGAAAGCATCTCAGAGATGTATGGCTTCGTCAAACACTCCGTTGTTGAATCAGATTGAGCGATTCCCTAGAAATTGCCTTCGCTGAAACCATGGCCTGACTTTAACCTGCCATAGGTCAGCGACCTTACAAGGTACATCTAAATGTGTCATGTCAAACGATCCGCTATTCAATTGTCTACAGGTATGCAAAAGTTGGCGCGGCTACACCGCGCCGTTCGGAAACCATTCTGGAAAAAACCTTCGGGGGGTCATTTTGACCCCGTACCCGAGCGCATGTTAAAAATGTCGTTTGTCTGCATCATCAATCAGCATTCTGCTATATTTAACCGTTATTTGATCTGTTGATTGTTCGTCATGTATGTGTATTGTTGCGATACTGTATGAGCGTTTGAAAGTCGGTGAAATCAGAGCTCAGCCAATGTGTCGAGTGGCAAATTTTTCAAAAACGATGTTTGTCTTTCTGTGTCTGCTTTTTAGTCCCGAAGAAGCTGGAAAGCGGAAAAATTGACATTGACATTGAACTTTGTCTCTTATATGAACAAAGGCTATTTACTCTACTTCACATGCATCAAATTGAAACATTGAACGAAGTATGAAATATTAAAACGAAGTACATGAGAAATACCCAGTCTCCGACATTCACGCAGCAGTGCTTTTTTTTCTTCGCCCAACGGGTAGGCT